TAGCGGCTGCAGGTTACCCTGTCATTAAAACAAAAAAAAAAATATTGGAATAAAAAGGATCCCAAGGAAAGTACTTGAAAATTCTAAAAAAGTTAAAACACGTTTAAAAAAAGATTACTTGAAAATTAACTACAAAGCTTAGACAGACAGACTTTTGTTGGAAAAGTTAAAGCCTTGTTTGATACCCTTATTTTTCATAGAAAATGGAAATTAAATTTCATTTCCCACCTACTCCACCAACTCGGATATTGAAAAAAATTCGAGGAATAATTGTAAAAGAGGATATCCCTTAAATTAACAATTTTCATATAAAACAAAGTCAAACGAATACCAAAAGATAGATGATTTCTAATTTTTTTTTTTTTTTGGGCAATGGAAAAAAGTTCTCGGAACAATTATAAAAGATGATATCCTAAATTGACAATTTCCATAAAAATAAAATCAAACAAACACCAAAAGACACTTTTATTTCAACATTTTTCGGGTGAAAAATTATACTAATCAAACATTATTAATTGACAATTTCGAGTAAAACAATTTATAGATAATTTAATTCCCTGGAGTTCTTTTTCTTTCCATTCAAATTTCATCTTCGCGATGAAACGGACACTAAGTTTCGGAACTAAAAGACCCCAGATAAAGCAACTTCTAAGAAAGTTGAGACATGCATGCGGCTAAGCCTAGAAGTTAATTTAAGGTACTTTTAGGCTTAACGGCTTACCGATTCTCAAAGTTTTCAATCAATCCTATCCAATTCTTTTAACATAAGATGTTTTTTATTTAATACAGTAATATGATAGAGACGCGAGTTTAATTTTCAATATTATTCACTCTGGCAGGGGAAGGGTCTACTTCTACTCATAAAGCTCTCGTTTGGCCCTTATTAAATTACATTCTATTTTTTTCTCTCCTATTTTCAACCACACAATTTTTCATAAAATAATATTATATGTAAATCAAAAATTTTTACTTCTTTTTCAACCGCTCATTCTTCCAAAAAACCACTATTCAACCCGTTTTCATTTTTAGAAAATGGGGGGCAAACGGGGGCAAAATTTGTCTTCTGTGAAACGTGTTTCAGTTTTGCTAATCCCATAATGAAAAATGCTACTAAACCACATTGTTTGACATAAAGGTTGACACACCTCTCACAGTCGAGGTGTGGGTCCCGTGCGAATAAAATAATGCCGAGTTCCCATGTGTGTGTGATGTGTCAACCGATGTGGTCATGTAATACGGCCCTCCCATAATAATCCTGGATGGAAGGAAGAAAGGGCAAAGCATTTAAGAATCCAGATTTCCAACTCCCTTCAGAGCGAAAAAAAGTCTCTTTACCTAGGCTTTATCTAGAGATAGCTTCAGCTTGGCAAGAGCATGCTGCAGCCTGTCTTTAATATCATTATCAATATGAGGTTGTTCCAACTGTGTGTCAGCATCATAAAGCTCCCAAGGACTATATTGATGTGTTTCAGTGGCACCGTTTTTGTACTTTATTACCGATCTTTCCCATGGACTGTCATTCAAGAGATTTGGGCTTCACAGTTAAAATTCGGTCTTCCCACCAACTCCCATCTTCCTCGCCCGCATTTTCCCACCAGACTTAACATTTATCTCGGGAGGTCCAGTTTCTTTGCACAGCTGCATCGTACCTGCTTCTCTCAACAAGAAAATCTGGAAATTCAGTCACTTCAGGTAGTGTCAACTTAAATGATTTGCCCACCACATCAGAAGATGTATCAACAAATTTAAGTGTCATTTTACGGCAGTTCTCCCCAGAACCTGGACGTGTTGAATACTCCAAGCCTTCAACACTACAAAATTATACAGCCCTGATGTTTCCCTTAATTGTTTTCCAAGGGCCCATTTCCTTCGAGTTAAGGTATGTGATATATTCCTGATGGCCCTGGAGAAACAATAAAGCCAATGACTAAGAGTAAAAGATAGAAGGCTGCGATAATGAAATAAAGCATAATCTCAAAAAATTAAGTGAACCGAATTGTAACTATCATTTTACACCAATGCTAATAAAAAAAATTTAATGATTTAACAAATTAAAGAACAAAATAAAAGAATTTCAGGAAAAAAATTATAAAGCTTTTTTAATTAAATTGAACTAATTAAAATTAAAAACAAATATTATTTAATTAAAATTGAAAAAATTACGTTTTATCATAAAATGAAAAGAATTAAAAAGAATTTTAAATCGAAAAAAATTATTTATAACATAAAGAAAAAATTTTAAAATAATTTTCAAAAAAATATAATAAAAACAAAACAAATTAAACAAAAGAAAGTTATAAAAATTAAATAAATAATATATAAATATTATTTAATTAAAATTGGAAAAATTAAGTTTTATGATAAAGAGAAAAGAATTAAAAGGAGTTTTAAATCGAAAAAAAATTATTTATAATAGAACAAAACAAATTTAAAAAATAAATAAAAATAAGAGTGGTATCCTTCCACGGAGAGAATTACATCGAGAAATTCTCTCCATAAGTGATCGTCGTGCAGCATGAAGATTTCTTTTTCGTTTTTTTCTCATTTATTTTTTATTTTTATAAATTTGTTTTATTCATATTATAAATATTTTTTTTGTTTAATTTAAAATTCTTCTTAATTCTTTTCATTTTATGATAAAACGTAATTTTTTGAATTTTAATTAAAAAACTTTATAGTAACTTTTTGTTTTATTTTTGCCTGCAGTTTTTTTTTTGTTTCTTTAATTTGTTAAATCGTTTAGTTTTTTTATTAGTATTGGTGTAAAATGATAGTTACAATTCGTTCACTTAAATTTTTGAGATTATATTTTATTTCATTATCTCTTATTCAATGTTCTAACATTTGAATTTTTGAAGGATGGAATACTATCTAGATGCAGAGTTGAAAAGGATAATCCTTAAAGTTAGGACTCTCGATTTTAGTCATTATCTTGATTTTTTTTCATTTAAAAAAAAATTCATCTCAAACATTAAGATAATGAGTGAATATAATATATATTTATCAAGATTTAATTATTATTAATTAAATAATTAACATTTTCTAAATTTATGTACAAGATATATTCAATCCTTTATCATATTAATGGAATAAAACGGCGTCGTTTTGTCATTCAATGTAGGGAAACGATATCGTTTTATACTGTAAATGCATGTAAAAGTGTATAAAAAAAAGGAAATGGAATAGGGAAGGCAAAAAATATATATATAGCTACAGTGTGATAAAATGAACGAATTCACTGTTCCTAACTACAGTACCTTCTCGTTCCCTTTTTTTATGTAGTAGTGATATGTGTGTGTCTGTGTTTCCATTCATAAACAAGGTATGAATAAAACCTTAGCCAAACCCCATCTCCTGTCTCTTGCATTTTCTTTATATTTTGTACAGCCGTTGACTTGATCGTCGGAGTATAAGCAGTCATCGGACCATTTTCTTGACCAACGACTTTTGCCTTCTAATGAGTGTTTTAGTGTGTAGGTGATGTTTACATGGAAGGGAGGATCGCAAGATTCCATTAACACATTTTTTTAAAGTCAACAATTTTAAATCATGAAAAGCCTACAATTAGGAGCATGTTTTGATTGAGGCGAATAGAAGTAAAGTTACATTCAAATAATTCGTTGCTCGAATCATTTATTATCTTTTTACTTTTAAGTAAAAAAAATTACTTTTTGAAGCTAACCTTTAACTTATTATCAAAGTAAGTAACTTATATTAATAAAACATAATTTATTTCAAAATTTTATGGGTAATCTCAACTGAGATTTATGAATTTTAATATATATATATATTAAAATTTTCAAAGATTTTGTTATTTTTATTTTTAAATTTGAAATCCATCTAAATCTTTTAAAATCCCTTTATAAATGAAATATTCACGAATTATTGAGAATACTTAAATTTTAAATGATTTCATTGAAATCTAACAAAACTTCATCATGGGATAGCTAGTTTCAATGGATTCTAATAAATTTCATTAAAATCTCAATTTCGAGAGCATAAATTTCGAAGAGTTTTTAAAAATAATTAAAATTTCAGTTGAGGACATTTCAGTTTCTTTTCTATTTTATAGGTAAATTTCTCAAACATGAACTCTTTGTACTTGGCCAAACATGCTCTAGGTCTACGTTCACTGCGGTAGTCGTCCTACGTTACATCCTATATGACGATTTATAATTTGATATATTGATATGGTAATTTTTTCTTGTCACATATATCAAATCACTAAACACCACATGCGTGTCACGTTAAACGACTACAATAATAAGTGACTGCAAATAATATTATTCAATTCTAAAAAGACTTGAATAGTGTTAAAAGGACACATGAAGACATCAAAAGTAAAAAAGGAAACATCATCTTGCGAAAATGAATAAAAATAGCTTTGTCAAGAAACATAACATGTAATTTCATAATAAAAAATAATTTTAATTCTTGATAGACACGTAAAAGAGGAAAAATCATTTTATAGCAATTTCCTTGTCTCACTAAACCAACACACTGATATGATCCAGTTGATCAAACCCAAAAATTACCTACTCTGGAAAACCAAGTATGTAAAACGTGTCTCAAAGTTATCATGCACCTTAATCCTCATACTTTGATTTCATTTTTACCATTCCGTTTATAACCGTTATCCAAATTAATAGAATTCTTAATGTAACCAGTAACTTAGTGTATTGATGGAAAATGTATAATTAAAAAATAAGAAAATATTTTTAAATTTGCGTGTAATATTATTTGATTGAAAAATGTATGGTCAAAATTATGTCAAATAACTGTTTAACAAAATATATATATATTTTTTTTTGAAAAAACGTGGATCAAACGGGGCCAAAATTAAAATAAATTAAAGTAGTGATCATCACGAAACAAATCAGCATATTAGGTGACCTCGAATGAAACGGCTCGTCTACTGTTCCACTTTGGACTCGTATATCCCAACAGTTATTCGCGCTTATAGTTCACACTGTACGAAATTGAGCAATTTCATTATTGTTTTGTTTAAAATTATTGAATTGATCATTTGAGCTGTAATACCATCTTAAAACATTAAGTAGCTCGAACACGTGTTTGATTCTAATTTTCATATCACCGAGAACTTGAATTTCACCCTAACACAAGCTTTAGTACGTTAAGAAATTTAATGAAATTTTGATTCTTTTCTTTTCAGATAATGGGATTTGTAATTGGGATTCAGAAAAGAATTAGTGCTGGTTTTGTTAAGAAGAGGATATTATTGGAATTTTGGCATAATTTTGGGTGGACCTGTTTCTTTTTTTTGGAATATATTGAAACCTTTTATTTACTTGGACAGAACTAGGCTTGGGTGAATGAGAAATTGAAGCTCACAGTGTACCACATGAAGTGGTTTAGGTTTTGGAGGAAAGGTAAGGCAATAACTAGTTTATATACGGCCACATTTTATGGATTTGTAATCATTCGTAGCATAGAGACGTGAGCTCGAGGGGGTGCAAAGTCTAGCCCTTGTCCTTTTGCTCTAGTCTAGGATGAGCTTCGGAATATAGGATGACAATAGAGGTCCGGTATCTAGAATTTTAGAATAGCATTCACAAATCTAAAATTTTTAGTATAAAAAACTATGATATAATACAATTAATGTCCATTGAGTCCAAAATATTGTCAAAAATGATGATTTCTTATCCTCTTATAATATATTCTTTATTTATTGAGCAAGCATAGTCACTTTATTTTATGAATATAAAAACAATTAGGCTGCATTTATTCTTAGAGATGATGTAGGAACTTGACTTATTCTAATAGAAGAGAGAAGAAACTAAACAACTTTACTGTCAAGTAGGAGGAGCTGAAGAATAACACTATAAAAATGGTGGAGCAGAGTAAGGTTCTTAATACTCCTGGTGCAGAAAAACAGACAAAGCGTGAGCTGTTTGATGCAATTCGGCAGGAGCTTGAGTAAGTGATCTTACTATGTATTCATTGTACCATTTTAGTGTCTTGGTGAAGCGTGCTGATGAACTGGCCTTTGCACTTCCGTCAGTCTACTGGGATGTTATGGTCTTGATTTGATATAAGGTCATGAAAGACATGTTAAGAGGAGTGATATATGCCATTCTGTTGCGATAGCCCATTGCTTGAGCTGAGAACCACAGGGTCATAATGTTCAGATCCTTATGTTTTCTTTCTTCTAACCCGTAATTTGGTGGCTTGAATATTACTTCAGCCACTTCATCCGAATTCAATGAACTTAAAGAAGTTAGGACGCCGCCAGTCCTACACATTCAACTCTAGAAATCTGAATTCTCTGATGAATATGTACTTGTACAAGTTGACAAAGCATAAAATAAATTTGATTTATCGCGGTGTCAATTCCTTGGAAATAAGATATGATGTAGAGGACATAATGCGGTGAGATATTATTTGCAGAACTCCTGTGCTTGAAAAGGCTTCTAAATCAGTGTGGGAGTTAATATTGGATCAGAGTGGCTTGGGAAAGGAGATCAGCGAACTTGTTGAGAAAGTCTTTTGCCAACTAAGTGGCCATGAACCTCCATTGTTTCCTCCAACATGCAGTGAAGCCCAGCCGGAGAAAGAGAGAGATGATACCCCAACCTCTTCGTCCAAAAAGAGAAGTTTTGGTGAGATGAGCAAGGAAGATATAGATGAAGTTGCACAAGTTTCAGCAGACGAACCAGTTGTACCACAGAGTATTAATACACTTACATCACCCAAATAAAGAAAAGGAAGCACGACTGCACCGTACTCGGTGGACGAGTCTTTGTTAATTTGCACTGCTAGATGAATCATTCTTCTTGGAAAAGGATGACACATTGGTGTTTATTGTCTCATTTTATGCTAATTGTATGCGTGCCAAGTCTTTATGAATCGTTGAAGATGCATCGATAACATTTTAGTTAAATGTGGTGAAATGGAAGTTAAGTTGATTGTATTAAAACCTTCTACCTTTAAGCTTGTTCAAGTAAACGTAGAGAAATTAACATGTAAAAGCATGTAAAAGGTTTGTGTTTATATGTAGTAAAAGAATATTAATTTATATAATAGCCTATTTCTTTCTTTTTCTTCATATGTGAGTAAAAAGGCTGGGATTCGAGCCCAGGTCTCCACGGCCACAACGTGGAATTCTCACCACTAAACTACAGCCACATTTGTGCTAACATTGTATTAACACATTAATGATACATTCACATGTAGCTTTGCTTTGTAGTAAACCAAAAAAATAAAATAAAAAATGCGATCAATCCACATAATAATTTAAAGTTACATGCAGCAAATTTATATTCGTTTATAATATTTAGCTTATCAACACACCAATTATTACGAGTATAGCGTACAATGACTGTTTCTAAATTTTTTGCACGTTAGCACATAGTACCAAAAAGAATACGGCAAATTGACGAGGCAATATAAATATTTGTCTTTTAACATCAAAATAAGTAAAAATTGTTACAGAGAAGAGAGCGGCACTAATAATTTTAAGGACAACAAAATTGCTCACGTCCCCAGCCCGCCTTGAATATATTAAATGCAATGTGACAAAGAAAATAATCCTTGCCCCAAATTCTCCAAAACAACCCCAATATTTTTATATTGTTATATTTTATTTTAATTTTATACTTTCATGGTCTAATAAATTCAACCAATGCACGCTAGTTAACATCAACTAATTGTGTTACATGCAGTGCGCTTTCCCTCTTATAAAAAAAAATAAAAATAAATAATAATAATAATAATAATAATATATTGATAACCCAATTGAGGTATTACCACTGGGTCGGATACAGATTGGAATAGAAATAATATTATTAATAATAATAAAAATGTTGGGAAATTTTTAATTCCACCTGCTCCCGCCCACTCCCCATTTCCCTAATAAATTTTAGCCATCTTCAACTAAGCCCATGTTTGGTTTTCATTCTTTTTTCATTAAAATGAAAAATATGACCGTTATTCATTATATCAATCCACCAAATTTGAATTTATATATCTTGTGTGGGGCCCGTAACGACTATATTTTTCATTTTCATTCTTTCAAAAATGAGAAACAAACAAGGACTAATTATGTCATCTGTATTGCGCTTTCTATAGTATGTAAAGAATAAAGATTTGATAGTATAATGATGACCTAAACGAGATGGTAGCCAACCGGCCGCAGTCTTGTTCTGGGCAAGCCTTGAGGCAGTCAAATTCTGCAGCTCAAATAGGGGGTGCCTGTTTTTTAGCCTAGTTTCAATCCTGACCATATGACTTTTCTGTTGTTTGGGAGGGATTTTTTCCCCAAAAAAATTGATTTTTTGACCGTTATTTCACTATTACAGTCGTCATATTTGACTTCTTTTCTCACGGGTGGACCCCACTTTTCTCATAACAGTCAAAAAATCAATTCTCAAAATCACTCCCAAACATGCTCTAAAATTATAAGGCTGTTTCGCGCTGGTAGTCGCTAACAATTAAAAAGGGATCAGACGATTGTGTAAGGAACAAACCTCTTGAGACAAAGTCCCAAAAATTGATGTTTTATTGGCGATGACTTTACAATTGGAACTAAACAGAATGTCTTCAAGGGGCGCAAGCACACGAGTACTGAAAAGAAATGTTTAAGTCTAAATTAAGAAATTGAAATTACATATTCTCTATTTGAGAGTGTTTGATTCAGGGTCCTTTGCTCTATGTCTTCTCTTCCTTTTATATTCTCTTGATGATTTTTTCGTGATCAACCGCTTAGAAATTATTTGATTGCTTTATAACTACCCACTTTCTTTATGGTGGCTAACTTGTCGTGGAACTGCCGCCGTTAACTGTTGCCACTACTCTTTGTCGTTCAACCGTCTTCAATTGATAAGTTACTCGATAACTGCTTCAATAACCGTACTTCTGGATAACCATAACATCTTATGTTTCTTTTGAACCAGAGTACCTGCAGCAGAAGCAAAAGAAGCACAGTGGCTCAGCCCTTTTTTTGCCAGATCAAATTGTTGGATAGAGAGCTTTTCAGCGGCAACAAGAAGACACAACACAAATTCCACGACATCTATATTGGCACGGGAACTAGTGGAATGAACTCCTGAAGGATGGTTAAAAACAGAAAGATTATCAAGATAGGAATCAATTGTGTTCTCGGATTTAGACTGAAGTAATCTCAATCTTGCTAACTTTATGATGCCCGCCATTGATACTTGACATTCATGAGAAGAGCTTGTTGTTTCAGAGCTCCGCTTATTTTTCCCCTGCCGAATTGTTTCATCTTGTTGCAATACTTGTTCAAAAGATTTATGATGCTAAAGGTGGACATGGATTTTCTTTCTTTGCTTCATCAAGGCATGAAATTCTGGGCAGAATCTGTTAATTTTCTATGGTTTCTGCAGAGTGTGAAGCCATTTCTTGAGAATCATATTCCCAAAATAAAACAGCATCAAGTGCTTTATATAGCAAAATATAATCTCAAGAAGAATAAATAAGAATATTATTCCCTAGACAACTTGTTTGAGGCTTTACATCTAGATTCCTGCCTCACGCGAGGTTTTCGGTTTTCCATTAAACAACTCAAATTTCACCTGAAGCACTATTTCTGAGCTTACACAATATTTCAAGAGGCGGATGATGAAAAATAATGAAAAGTAACTCATGATGATGATGAGGATATGCTAATATGACCAATTTAATTCCAAAAACATGCAGCCACCAATGCAGTTTCAGTGAGTGTAAATCCAAGGACATACGGCCAGCTATACTAATCAGTTTTTAAGGCTTTCTTTTGTCCGTTGGCTCAATCTTTCATCCCATCAGCTGAAGTGCATTTCATTCATCACACAAGATTATGTTAGGCAGGCTTGGGATGTGATCTAAATTGTCTATAATAAGACATTCGAGTTAAGGCCAATATATTAGACTGATAGATAAGAGAACTAAGGTGGCATATAGAACGCTTGGGTGCCACTTTACCAGTTTCTTTATTTACAATGTGTGCATATGCATTCTCTCAATTATCCAACGAGATTCTCTCTAAATAACTTCAATATTGGATAAAAGTTTAAGTGGCAACGAGATACGACCCAAGTCTTCTGTCCAGCCTTATGTTACATTGAATCACCTCATCTAAAATTTTAAACTGTTAGAGAAAGAGAACGACTATTTATATAAATTTAGTTTTCAACATTCACTCTGCAACCTCCGTACTTGCAATACAAGTTATGGAATTCTCATATAAGTTAAGCATAATACAGAAAACTTCACTAAAAGCAAAAAAATAGTTCATGTAGTCATTGAAATCTCCACGCAGATATTGAATTAATTCGTGTTCCCTTCCAGCCAAAAATTAGGCATTTCCCATCCAAATCAATCGAGCAAGAACCTCCACAAGCAAAGTTCTTAAGGAGAAGATTCGCTTGATAAATAGAAGACATGCTCAACCGTATCTCCACCATCCCAAACTGGCTAAAACATGCCCTCCAAATATCTATATTCACATGTCGATACTTTCTTTCCTCTCCCTCAGCTACTACGATGTTCCTTATGATGGGACCGAAAATTCCCGATTCAAAAATGGTTCTACTTGATTCATCATGCTTCATGCACTCTTCCAGGATATCAAAGAATGCACCATAGAAAAAAAGAGCTTCCACAAAACGATTCACGAAAAATGAAGAATTATCATTTGCCTCAGATTCAATGACAACCATCACTCGGAGATTCATATTTTTAATCAATTTCAACAAAGATTTTAGCCTATCTGGCTGTGCAATCATATTCTTGAAAACGTATGCTGCATAGACCGCAATTGCTTCATCAGCATCAAGATCAAAGAGACTTTTATTGAGATCTAGGATATCTTCTACCATGATTGTTTTAAAAGAGAAGTTCAAGTTCATAGACTGTGCAAATTCTTTTAGTTGTCTGCCTGTCTCCTCAATCAACGGCTGAGAGTTTGTTCCGATAGCAGTTATCTTAAGATGATCGAGTGGACATTTAGGTCGAGCTGCAAGAGCTTGCATTAAAATAGCGAATTGCATCCCATTTCGGATCTCGAGATCAATAATATGTACCTTTCTGGAGTTTGCTACATGCTCAATTATTGATTGAATCCCAGAGAATTGTGTAACCTGGGAGAGAGGAAATTTTTCGTGAAATGCAAGGATGGTAGGATTCAAATTCATCAATCTTTTTTCCACATCGAATGGCTGTTTCTTCGCCAAAAACATTCCATTACTTCTTCCAGTTTCCCTATCGATCTTCTCATACAGAGCGCCAATGAAATAATACACTAATCTTTGGATGGTACTCCTTTTACTGGAGCTCAGCGTAAGACAATTATCAAGGATCTTGCTTGCAGAATCATACTGCTTTTTATCTACCCTTTCAGCACAGAGTAGAAGATCTTGAACAAGTTGAACATCTTTATCAATATCCTCTTTGCCGAGGCCTAGAAATGAACTGGCATACGGATGGCTAAGAACAGAGAACTCATCAATGCTAGAGGAACTAGATTGAAGAAACTTCTCTGCGGCCAACTTGATAATCGAATCAACTGATGATATCCCAAAATTGATCTTACTGTAATTTGTTTCATGACTTTGTTCATTCAATCTTCTGAGCTCGCTTTCATAGTTCCGTGAAATCCCAAGGGATTCAGAAGGAAAAACACAAGAACTTTCTTTCTTGGGTTCATTAAGCTCGGAAGTTTCAGACGTGATACCAACTAGCTGATTAATATCCTCCTTGCTAAATTGAAAAGGAGGAGAAACAACATCGAGATACAAATCGTTTAAAGTCCCGAACTCTTCTATCAGTTGTTTCTCTTGCTGATATTTATACAACAACAGATTTTGCATGGAAATATTCTCGTGCTCCTGACAGAACCCAAGGCTCGAACCCAACGAATCAGTTCCCCACGACTCTACCCAATTTTCTCTTCCACGCAAGCCATTTTCAACTAATTTCCTCCCGTCCTCGTTCTCAAAAGCCTTAGAAGAATTATTTTTATCCATAACTTCAGACAAAACAACTGATGTGACCAAATATTGCACTCAATCTCAATGTAAGATGCTGCAGGCTTCCTTAAATTATAGCCTATTTTATACTATTACAGTTGTTTACAAATTTGTTTTCACGAGTTTACAATGCTGTCTTATATTTCCTTGTATAAAAATCAATATATGCCGTACTTAACAACATAAGGACATCAGTAAATAGTATCTTTGATATGAAAGTGACCGAATTAGGCCCTTGTTTGGCCGATATTTCTTAAAACTCATTTTTCCCCAAACTCGTTTTCAATTACATATTTCATGGGATCCATAACTTTCATCAACTCTTCAAAGTTCGAACACACATTTCACACTTTAATCAAAATGTATTAAAAATCTAATTTTTATTCAAGCCAAACAAATGCAAGCTATAGTTTTAAAATACTGTCATTTTGATTGGTTTATGTACAACTCTTATAGTACAGGTGAAACTATTGGAATAATAATTAGTTACAGTAATGTTCAGAAGAAATACAAGACTTATAGTCCGATCGAGTCTCGTGACAGCACGATATCATAAAGTGAAATTGTCCATCGATAATTGCTGCGACCTCCTTAGACAATCACTCCTAAGATACAACGATTGTAAACTACTTGTGCAGCAATCACGAATGATTTTTCCAGAACTATCAATTGTACTCCAGAATATATGTAAAAAACCCGAGTATTAGAAATTCAGAATATGAAAATGAAGGATTCATACAAGAGGATTTTTCTATTTTCTTTTTTGTGTGTATTTTTCCCAAAATGATATATGGGTTTATATAGGCATGATGGAAGTAACAATCTCCACCATGATCAGAGATTAATTCAGAATTTTAATGACTGAGTAATGAGTATTTTAATGATTGTTAGTGGGTTATTACAAAAACAAACAGTCAGAAAATACTGACTAGTTTTACCCATTAAATAATAATAATAATAATAATAAAATTATTTATTTTAGTCAAGGCCCTAATCAAGACATTTTAATATCTGCGTGATGAGTGACTCGAACCCCTGACATCCCACACAAATGCCACATTTCCCACCACTATAGCACTTTATCTAATTTGATTATTTCTTTCAGTTCTATATTTATACCATAAATATATAACAGAAACAACCATGTAACGAGGGTTACTTTAATTAAAAGACTACATCTGTGGAGTCACTCAGCTAGGAAAATCTGGCCCTAAGGAGGGGTGAATTGTAACAACTACTCCAAATCTCGCACCACTCATAAAATGCATGCGTTAGGGGTATATAAGCACGTTAGGCACCTAGTCATTACAAACCGGTTTTAAGGCTCGTAACACATATTTAAAGAAGTAATTTTCTTCTCGTCTCCTGCATTTTACAATGCAAGAAGGCTAGAGAATAGTTTATGGTATTGAACAAGGAAAATTAAGACAGATCAAATGCAGACAACTGGAACAAGCAAACAATACAGCAGGATAATTTAAAAAAAGGGATTTTAACCTCAAACAAAAATTGATGTACATTCTTCAAAAGATTTTTTAGGTTAAAACAAAGAAATAATCCAACAGCACATTTGTAGCTTTCTACTTCGCTGTTTCTTCATAATTTTTAGTGAAGGATGTTGATATGGTCCTATTTCTGGGGACATATCATGTATAAAAATGTAATAAGTATCTATATCGTCGAGTTAGGTGTCCACAATTTTATTTATTTTTTGGTAAAGATAATTGTCATAATGATGTAAATACTTGAATTTTTTTGACATTTCTCTTGACGAGGAGCACTCTTGATTTTCAGATCACAGTTCATCAACTGCTCTTGTCAATAGTGAAGGGACATACAAATATGAAAGCATTGCAAAACTTTGACAAGTATAATCTTCGGTATGAAATTTACATCTTTTGACAAATTTAAGTTGGCAGTTAAGAATTACTCGATCAAGAACAGATTATAGACGTGCATAAGTTCAAAAGAAACTACGGAAACAGTAAAGATGGGAGCCTGGGGAAGAGATAGAGTTCAAAGGTAAGAAATGAATGTGTTAAACAAGACAGAATCTTTATTCAATAACATCTGAAAGTGACACGACCCATCCCAATTAACCCCTGGACTTGAAATGTGAGGTGTGTTGATGGTGGACGCTAGCTAAATGCTAGACCCAAAACCAAGGCTAACTTGAGCTTCTACCGATATGCTATATAATGAAAAGTCGTCTTATGCCAAAAGAATGTGAGTGGGCCCAAAATAATTTTTACATGCTCAACTCAATGGACACAAATAACCTAAAACTGTCATGTGGCTTTGGCTTGAAAATCAACGGGCTCTTTGATGTTGCCAAAACTTAATTGCTACCTGGTAAGAAAAAGCGTAGAAAAATATATGAGTTGATAGCTCAGTGAATGGAGAATTTTGAAAACAATTATTCTTTCTCATTTATCTATATTTATCAAAAATGGAATTTACATCACATAGTCATAATTAAGATGTGAGACATTCTCGTAACACTAGAAAATATTATCTCATAGTCATGGTACATCCATCAATTGAAATATATACTATAATCCCATCACATCAAAATGTGCTTGAAAATCCACAAAAAATGTACCATCTCATACTCGCGTAGACTACCTCTCAAGCTAATCACTTTCGCCAAGTTCCCTCATTGAATGAAAGTGGATCTTAGAGACCTCTCATATTCAATTCTAGAACATGATCAAAACCCCTCAATGAACTATATGTACACGGTCAAGACCTCTTCATCCATAGTCAGGCCCTCTCTGCGTAGAATAGAACGTGGCCAAAGCTCCTCAATGAACTAGAAGAAGTATATAATTACAAATACATTTTTGATCGATCTCAATATCAAATATGCCTCTCATTCCAATTCACAAATAATCCATATACAATTTTTGAAATTCTACATATATCATAGTAAAAGAATCTTTCCATAATCATCGTGTAATTGAACAAATAGTTCAATAAATCACTCGTAATGTAATAATATAATTAATTTATCAATATTTAAAATATATAAGTTTTCCACTCAATGGGCTATGTACTGAATGTAGATTAACTTGGTTGATAAGCAATTCCAAACTCCTCATTATTTCCTTATTCCTTGGTGGTGTTTTCGGCATTTAGTTGGCATCCACCATCGGCGCATGTCAAGTTTCAGGTCCACTATGATGATTTGGGATGGATAGTGTTAGAAAGAGACCATGTTTGTGGAGCCTAATTGTGCCTATACTAATTATTTCCACTTAGCGAAGTTGGTCATGGATCATCATCATAGAAGAAGAGAGAAAAATATATTAGAGAAGATAGATGGATGATTTCCTCTTGTAAATCATAGTGAATTACTGTAGCAACGGAAGATGAAGAGTCTCACATTAAAACAAACCTTCATAAATCTTACGTGTTCTTGAGTGTTTATTTTCTCTCTGTGAATTGATTGCTTTCGATGAAACAGAATTAGGGTTTGTAATTCTCAACACATACAAAGTATTAAACCTTAAACAATGAAATGGACTAAACTACAATTACTAAGCCCCTATTTGAGCCCCATTACATTAAATTCTATTACATTTCATTTTTCTCTCTCCTATTTTCAACAACATAATCTTCCATAAAATAATATTACACGTAAATCGAAAACTTTTCATTATTTTTCAATCACTCATTTTTCAAAAAAATACTATTCTCCCCATTAATTTTTTCACGCAATGGAGATCAAACAGGGGCTAAATATACAAAGCCCCAATTTGGTTTCGATAAAAATTAATAAAATGTATAGTTGAAAAGTTGTGAATCCCATGAATGTGTAGCTTAAATTAATTGTTCATTTGACATGAATTTTAATTATATTTTTTAGTTGACAATTCTAACACCCCCATCAAACTCACGTTGGTAAACATAGAGAGTTTGCTAAATGGAAAACAAAAACTAATCCATGTATGACTTCATAGCATAACCACCACTAAGGCATTATAAGAAACCAAATACCTCTATAATGAAAATTCAAAGATTTTTAACGCAAACAGAGAATTGCTAGTTTGGTTAACTGATGCAAGACATCTAGTCCTTGTTTGGTGTAGATTAAAATCAGATCTTTAATCGATTAATTGTGATAAAAGTTTGGTGAAATGCGTGATTGAAAGGTTATGAATTCAATGAAATATATAATTAAAATTTATTATTGACTTTGAACAAATTTTAATCTCCACCAAATAGGAGCCTAATAGACCCAACATCAACATGATAATTACCGCACCATGCAAAGCAGCAACAAGAGGAGATGAGTCAAAAGAAACTCAGCCATGACAGTAAGACTGCACAAATCACACCAACACCTTACTCAACCAGCCACCAGTGTTGAAGAACCATTGAGAACCAGGCAAAAATTATTACCACTATGAAAAACCATATAATATAAAAACTTTCTCCACCATAAACAGTCGCACTAAACCTAAGCAACGAAGCATGGGGCACTCGCAACACAGAAAAAAGGAGTTAAATGAAGAAAACTTATGCAGCCAAATGAGCGAAAACTAAAATAAAATAAGGGAAAATAAATGTAACAAATCAAAAAGGTTCGTATCTGCAATTTAAGCCAAGATCATATTAGACCTGCTATAATACGATTTTAAATAAACGATTCAAATTATTCAATACGTTTATAAAGACACTATAAATATAGCATGTTCTATTATTGTTCGAAATTCAATTAAGGAATGAAAATGGAATGAAACAACATGAAGGAAGCCAAAGAAAAATCGGCGTGGAAACCAAACGGTGGAAATATAAAGAAAAAACGGAAGCCCTACCGATATTTAAAGGGGCCCTTCAATTACTCCATGAGGCTGCGACCGTTGGGAGCCGTTTTTCTACCGTTATAACTTCAAAAGTGGTGGCCTTTCAACCTATTTTGGGACCATTTCATGCACACTTGGTGATGGCCTATAAATAGGTGATAAATCTAAAGCCAAATAATGTGAATAACA